TATTCATTGTACTTATACTTTCATCTGTCTTGTTTACAATTTCATACGTTCTCTTCCAACATTCTTAAGAAAAATAGCAGCCATCCTTAGAAACCCCAAAGGTAAAATTGACCTGGAAAACCAAGGCATATACGAAGTCCCCTGTGCATCATGCCCGGCCACATACATTGGACAGACCAATAGAAGAATAAGTACCCGCCTGGATGAACACAAAAATTCAGTCAAAAAGCTGGAACACACTTCCTCACTAGTCCAACACATGGAAGCCACAGGTCATAGCATCAACTTCAATGGCACCAAAACCCTAGCCACTATAGAAAACCCCAGCCACAGAATCATCAGAGAAGCCATAGAGATTGAAAAAAGACCAGAAAGCATGAATAGAAGAGATGATTCCACCAGACTGTCAATCATTTGGAAGCCTGCACTCACAAACAAAAAAAAAATCTCCACACCACAAGCCAGGCAAACACCTGGGCACAAACAGATCCCCCCTGATACCTCCAGCTCAAACACACCCCAACCAGGCACCCAGATGAAACCTAGCTTCCTAACTAATGATAGCCGTCCATTTACCTGGAGCCAAGCTTCACTAAAGGCCTCCAATAAAGTAACACAATGTTGCCAGCCAATCAAGATACAAAAAGAGCCAAAAAACAGACAGAAGATATTAGAAACACCAATCAAGCAGAACACAGCAAACTCCGAGACCAATAAACACAGACCAAGACTCCCAACCAATCAGGATGAAGAAAAAACCATTCTGGCACAGCAATAGGCTGCCCCAAATTTAAATCTGAAACCACTGTAAAAGTCTGACTCACAGATGAACACTATACAGAAGCCTGATGATGGCAGATGAGATTCTGCCGAAACGTTGCTACAACTTTAAAAGCACAACTACAATGACGTGGGAAAATACCCGAACAAAGCTGAATGCCATACATGTAAGTACCCGTGAAAACACACACACACACACACACACACACACACATATATGTGTGTGTTTGTGTGTGTGTGTGTGTGTGTGTGTGTGTGTGTGTGTGTGTGTGTGTATTCTTAAGTTTTCGCGGGTACTTACATGTATGGCATTCAGCTTTGTTCGGGTATTTTCCCACGTCATAGCAGTTGTGTGTTGAGATTCTGCCGAAACGTCGCTACAACTTTAAAAGCACAACTGCTATGACATGGGAAAATACCCGAACAAAGCTGAATGCCATATATATACACACACACACACACATACACACATATATATGGATCTTTGGTTATTCGGGTTTTCTCCCGCGTAAGATTGGAAGCATCTAGGCAATGTTTCGATGAAGTCTCATTCATTATCTTCAGGCTTGTGTCTTCTGCTCTGTGCTTCTCAGAGTAAATTAAAAAAAACAATGCCAAAAACTTTTTTTTGAATCACCAAATGAACCCAGACTGTTCCTTCTTGTTTCTTTCCTTTACTTTTCCTTTCTGTGGGTTACTGTATCTTTTAATAAGATTTCAGTTACAACGTATCCTCATCAGTCTTTTCAAAGTTTCACTGTTAATCCTCTGTATTTTTCCAGGTGGCACTCCATTTTTCAATTATTCCAAGTCCCACCCTTTTGCTTCCACTCTTCTCCTTTTTGGGGCTTTAAAATGACCAAGAAAAAAAAATCTTTATTCTTCTTTTGACACTTAGATTTCAGCTTAAGGTTGCCTATTAGTGTCAAAATAGATTAATATAAATTTCTTTCCATAGCATTTTTAATTGTCAATATAAAGGTTAAAAAAGGGTTTTTAACCTCCTTTTCTCTCTCCTTCGCCGCTGAAAGATCTTCTTTCAGAAGTATCCCTCTAGGTACTTTTAGATTCAAGGCACCTTGCTTAGATATTCTCTGTTGTTTAGCCTGCTCTGTCCTGCTTTGCTCTTTGTCTTCCTCCTGTACAATCTTATCCAGTCAAGTTCTTCTTTGAGGTGGCCATTTCTGACCACCACTGCAACTGCCTTCGGGGAAGGGAGTTTAGACCAGCCAAGGTGGAGAGATGCGGCTCCCCTCCACTCAGCTAGCAATCTCCCCCCTCTTCACCACCTCTACAGGGTGGCTTCAGCCCCAAATCCAAAGGATCGGGGTGCTCCAGTGGCGAGCACAGATTGAAACCGTGCACGATCACAGATTTCAGTCTGTCACTGAAGAGACCCTAACCGGAAGCCTACAATGAACTTATTCATTCTTGTGGCATCAAACTTTAACAACATTAGGCCTAATTTTCCTAGCTTGCAGTGCACATGTTCAGCTTCATAACAGCAACAAAACACACACTCACAACCTCACAAACAAAAAGGCAGTCAATTGAATAATGCTAAGATCCATGATAATGTTAGAAGACAAATCCTTCCAGGAATAACTCCAAACATTTATTGAATTTAGGATGAAATTTATTGGGAAGAAAAAGAGTGACTTAGAAAGTTAAATTCTGAGAATTAGCAGGTCCTCTGGAGTTACTCTTTGCTGAATCTTTGAGATAAATAGTAGGTGAGTGTCACCTTTTATATATTGTATTGATATTTTAAATAGATATTGTCAAAACAAACAGAAATTATATTAAACGATTAAAGAAATGTAAGAAAGGAACTTAAAAAGTGCAAGAGAAAGAAAGAAGAAAGAAGGGAGGAAAGAGAAAGAAAGAAAGGAGTGATAATAGAAGAAGGAAAAAGAAACAAAGACCATAATACGGAACTAAATCCTTAAAGACCATAATAAGGAAGTAAATTCATCACACTAAACACAAATTAATATAATAACACTTCACTGTTTTTAAAAATTACTTTACTTGCATAAAGTAACTCATATCTGTATACAAGCCAGAAATCTTTAGCAAAAAGCTCATTAGAAGCTGCCAGAAATATCAAACATATAATCTCTCTCTCATCAAACAGTCAAATTTTATATTTCTTCCTTTTGTGCTTCACAAAACAGATAATCAGAGTTGGAAGGGTCATCTAGTCCAACCTCCCACCCAAGCAGGAGACCCTACACCATTTCTGATAGATGGAAGTCCAATCTCTTCTTCAAAGTCTCAAGTGATGGCGCTCCCACAACTTCCGAGGGCAAGCTGTTCCATTGGTTGATTGGCCTTTAATTCATTCCAGTAGAGAATGAGATATGTTTCTTACAGGATGAACAATTATTCCTAAAGGATGCAATTGAAAATGATATTCAGACATTCCTTGAATATATGAATATAAACCAAGCCTCAGCTTTCTTTCTGTAAACACAATTAAGGCAGAATATCCAACTAATGAAGTCAATGAACGTGAAACAAATCTACAATCAAGAAGGAAAGACGTTGGTCTCATTTACTTCATCTTCTTGAGATTTCACTAAGAAGATCATCAAAATGAAGGTGGCTACAAATGAGAACACAAACCATAAGAAGAAATGAACTCTACTGCCATCAACACTTTTGCCTAGGTAAATAACTAAAAAAAAATCACTGCAACTTTCAAACAGTGTGTAAAATCAGCATGTATTCCAGGATGTTGGATTTACAACCATCAAATGTAGGAATCCTTGGTGTTGAAAAATAAGGACAATTACTTAAGAAAAGAAAGAAAGCGCTGGTGGATTTCTTAAGCAAAAGTTTTGGGGGTCAGATATAGGTGGTGGATAATGCTATGCATTTTGGGCTGCTTTTTAAAAAACCATATAATTTACTGAATGTGTGATCCTATGGAAAATATATCAAGACATAAGCCAAATAAAGCAGAGAAATAGATGTCCTTCGTATTCTAAATGTAGACAATTAGAAGTTTATATACTGAAACAATCTGGACTTCAGACCATCTCTTCTCAAGTTCAGGGTGTGTTGAAATTATAGGAATTCATACTGCAAGACCTTCAGGCTCATGATGGTGATGGAACTGAGCTCTCCCAACATCACAGTGGTGACTGAGTTCATCTTAGTAAGCTTCCAACTTTCAAAGACCATGGAATGCTTCTTGTTTTGGGTCTTCCTGTTGGTTTTTCTGCTCACGTTAACTGGGAACCTCGCCATCGTTGCCCTGGTATGCGTGGACCAACGCCTCCAAACTCCTATGTACTTCTTCCTCTGCAACTTGTCTCTTCTGGAGACTCTCTTTGTCTTGACAATCTGCCCAAAGATGCTCGTAACCTTGATTTCTCTGAACAAAACTATTTCTTTCAGGGAATGTATTGCCCAATGTTATTTCTACTTCTCCCTGGGTACCTGTGAGTGCATACTTATTGCTGTGATGGCCTTTGATCGCTATGCTGCTATCTGTTACCCACTCCGCTATACCATCATCATGAACAAACATTTCTGTGTCTTCTTGGCCCTGGGCTGCTGGACTGGGGGGTTCCTTCTCCTTCTCGTTCCAGTGCCCTTCCTTCTCCATCTGTCTTTCTGTGGCTCTAATCTCATTGACCATTTTTTCTGTGACTATGCCCCAATTATAAAGCTTTCTTGCAGCAAGAGTGTGCCTTTCCTCTTGAACTTTGAGACAGCTGTCTCCTTAGCAGTGATGCTCACCACCTTATCTATCAATGGGGTCTCATACGTCTATATTATTTCTGCCGTCCTAAGGATGCACTCCACCAAAGGCCAGAAGAAGACCTTTTCCACCTGTGCTTCTCATCTTACAGTAGCTAGCATTTTCTATGGCAGTTCCATCTTCATGTATTCCTTACCCACCAAAGGACGTTCACAGGGTGTCCAAAAAGCCGCTGCACTTCTGACTGCAGTTATTACTCCATTATTGAATCCTTTTATTTATACTTTGAGAAACCAGAAGGTCAAAGAGGTCTTAAAAGACTGTCTAAAGACTGTCATTTCCACACTGAGAAGAATAGTACCAATTTCCCTGCTCTGAATTTAGCTAGTTTCATCTTACAGTTGCATATAGCACCATTTCTATAGAGGGACGATCGAGATTGTCCCATTATATTGCATTCTCTCTGCTTTGGAATCATTATTACTTATTGCTGTGATGGCCTTTGATCGCTATCTTTGATTGCTATCTGTTACCCACTCCGCTATACCATCATCATGAACAAATAGACAGATGGAGAAGGAAGGGCTTTCCTGCAGCAAGAGTGTGCCTTTCCTCTTGGACTTTGAGACAGCTGTCTCCTTAGCGGTGATGTTCACCTCCACATCCAGAAAGCCACACACACAGAACCAGTAGTAAAAAAAAATTGAATCCCACCACTGATCCTGTCATATTGCATTCTCTCTGGTTTGGAATCATTACTACTTCAGACAGGAAGGTAGTACAGAGAATGGTGAAAATGGCAGGAAATATTATTGGTAGCTCATTCCCTTCTTTATAAGACATAGCATATAAGCAATGTTTGAGCAGGGTCTGCATGATTGTCTGAGATGCTACACATCCTCTTCAGAACCTGTTTCCTTGTTACCTTCTGGGAGGAGCTTCTTGGTATCCAAAGCAGAACATCTATATTCAGTCACAGTTTTGTTCCATAGTGCATCAACCTTTTGTGAACTCTCAAGTTTCCTCTTTGCACTATGTATTCAAAATGGACATATATATTTGTGTGGATCTATCTATCT